AAACATTGGAATATTACAAGGTTCAACCTACCTCATCATCCATGAAAATGAGATTCGTCGGCCATGCTACATAAGCTCCTATCGCGTCTCCCACCACTGTTGCGTCTGATACATCGTCTCGCATAGGCAACAACGCCCCCCCCCCCCCTCTAATGCAATATCAACAGATACTTTCAAAAATCCAGCAGGGAGGGGTTTATGGTGAAGTAAGTCTCCCAGGGTGTTATGCACCTTTCCCTTGCCAACCATGCGATAAGTCGGCGACGATAAATATAGTCGACAAGGTGAAATGCCCTAAACAAATAATGATCAGTTAATGTGTCAATTAAGAAAAATATGCTAAATTAATTTCAATGTAATATATACAATTACCTCTGGAAGCTTCTGCGGACAACCGATACTATCTTTGTCACTAGTAGCTTTACCGGCCTCTGGAGCGCGCCTTTCGGACATGTATCTCTCCTTATCCTTCTGTAATTCACGAATTTGAGCTTTCATTTCCTCCAAAGTAGCCATCACTTCTTTATTGGTTGGATTTTTTTTTCCTTGGCTGCTTATACAGTTTGGATGGAGTGACACCAAATCCCTTGCCCCTCACACGCCCAGAGTACTCAGGAATATTCAACACCCGACTCAATAAACTCCTGCAATCATCGTCTTCAGCAGGAGTTATAGTCTGGGATAGGGACTCCTGAAATATAGATAAAAGCATATTTAAATATTTTATACACTTTGTTCAAACACTTTGTTCAAAAACTAATGTTGTACTTACACATTGTTCAAACACTTGTTGAACTTCTTCTTGGACGGCTCCATCTCTTCCCACCCGGGCAGCCTTCCATACGACATGGTCCGGAAGAGATGTCGCATCACTTTTCTCCTCTTCCAACTACGCATTAAGACGAACAATAAAGCATTATATCCTATTATGTATACTTACTATTTTTTGTAAATAGATCATATTAAAGCATATATATGCACTTACTAATTTTTGTTCTAAGCGTGCATATCCCAAACGCCCCTTTCTATATGGATACGCAGGGTTTGATGCCCGTTCCCGATTTACGCCACTCTTAACCTGAAAAAACAAGTTTAAGTCATATCAGTTTGTTTGTGGAATAGGTATATATACTATACATTGTACATGATAAGTTGTACTTACTTCAAATTCTTTGGTTCTTCGCTTTGCAACAAATGTCTCCCATTCTGCATCCGAAATCAAATCAGCGTACTTCGCTGGACGCTCCTACTCTACAAAGTTGCTATCAGAATCTTTAAGATATTTGTTGGTTAAAAACGCTCTAAATCCCCTCAAGCGTTTTCCGGCCAACTGAATACAATATTTTCTCCTAGAATCCTCAATATTAAAAGATCTCTGCAAACAAATACACATACATATAACATGTTAATATAATTAATTTAAAGATGTAACTGTCAACATAATTAAAAATGATCAAATCTCATACTTGAATCTCGGTCCAAATTTTATCCTTAGCCACTTTTAATGCAGGAATTCTCCAGTTATCGCAAGTAATCGGAACTTGCGAACGTACAACTGCTCCAATATAACTTGTCAGCAGCGCACCATTAGGCTCAACCAACTGATCTCTTTCATTCCAATGGACATCGTACTTTACACCTCTATCTCTCGCACGGATGATACTTTTCATTATCGTTATGCCTCTTTTAATTTCGCCTTCAACGTCTTTGGGTGTTTCTTTTCCATCATGTGATGTTTCCTCGTTGCTGGCCATAATATACCTGTAATTCAGAATAACAACAACAACAACAACAAATATCAACAACAATAACAACAAATGTCATATTAAACAACAACAACAAACCATTTATATCAAATATAAACTATAACACAATATCATATATATCATATATCATATTAACTATATCAAATATAAACTATAACAAACCATCTATAAACCATCTATATCAAATATAAACCATCTATATCAAATATAAACTATAACACAAACCATCTATATCAAATCTAAACTATATCAAATACAAACCATCTATATAAACTATAACAAATATAAACCATCTATATCAAATATAAACTATAACACAAATCATCTATATAACACAATATAAACCATCTATATCAAATATAAACTATAACACAATATCATATATATCATATATCATATTAACTATATCAAATATAAACTATAACAAACCATCTATAAACCATCTATATCAAATATAAACCATCTATATCAAATATAAACTATAACACAAACCATCTATATCAAATATAAACTATATCAAATACAAACCATCTATATAAACTATAACAAATATAAACCATCTATATCAAATATAAACTATACAAACCATCTATATAACACAATATAAACCATCTATATCAAATATAAACTATATCAAATACAAACCATCTATATAAACTATAACAAATATAAACCATCTATATCAAATATAAACTATAACACAAACCATCTATATAACACAAATATAAACCATCTATATCAACTATAACAAATACAAACCATCTATATAACACAATATAAACCATCTATATCAAATATAAACTATAACACAAACCATCTATATCAAATATAAACTATATCAAATACAAACCATCTATATAAACTATTTTACATCAACAACAACAACAATATCATATATATCTCATATATCATATTAACACAACAACAAATAACACAACAACAACAAAAACCATCATTGAAAAGATAAAAACCATCTATATCATCAGAACAACAATGGTGAAAAGATAAAAAAAACAAGAAAAGCAGAGTAAAGCTTCACGTACCGTAACAATGGTGGACCGGCAATGCAGACGGATGGATGAACTCAAAAACGGACGGTGAACGGTCGGTGATGGTCGGAAGGATGATCGGACGGAAGAAGTTGATGGTCGGACGATGAACAGTGGTTCGTTCGTTCGTTTTCGTTCGCCAGAGAAAGAAGAAATGTGTTGCGTGACTGTTCTGATTCTATTAAAATTCTGGAGGGTATTTTAAAATTATAATATGAATACCTATAGCAGCGCTTTTAAAGGCCTTTAGCAGCGCTTTTAAAAGCGCTTTCATAGGGTGCCTTATCAATTCCATATAGCAGCGCTTTCTAAGGGTCCCCCTTTAGCAGCGCTTTTGAAAAGCGCTTTCGTAGGCCCCCCCTTTAGCAGCGCTTTTTAAAAGCGCTTTCTTAGGCCCACCATTTAGCAGCGCTTTTTTAAAAGCGCTGTCTTTGGTAGGCGCTTTTTTTCTTTTTTTTTTTTACTGGCCCTTTAGCAGCGCTTTTGTATAAAGCGCTGTCTTTCTATGCGCTGCTAAAAGTGATTTCTGGCGTAGTGATTGGTTCTCTTACGCCTTATTGTCTCGAGCATGCACGTTGTATATTTACTTGATATTTGAAACATTTAGAGGTATTTTTCATTTCAAATATGAGAGTATGTTTTTCGGTGCCGCCATGTTTAATGTCATGTCCGAAACAATGGGATGAATGACTAGTTTGTCATGCAAGGCATGATTATGTATACCGCAAATCACATTAAATTTCCATGTCTCATCCGTCATACAGTATCCATGCAATTTAAACGGCCACTCACATTTCCTCGATCCAGTGTTATCTCATTTCAACTACTTAATTTTTAGTTGATACATGTCACTTCTTTCGCATATCATTGTTACAAATGTTTGTCTTTTATCCGAACCATTGTGGACCTTCCAATTACAACACCAAACCTCAATTTTTCGGCCTCCCTAAGGACCCATTATAGCATATGTTCACGAACAATAAACACTTCTTTATTTGTAAATTATGCACGAACATCTACCTCGACAACAATCGGTCGAGCACCTGGTTTAACATCATTGTTCGATTCATCTGGTTGAACATCATCATTCACTTCATCTGGTTTAATATCATGCTTCATTTCGACCAATTTAACATTCACACTCATAATAGTTTTGGAAAACATATTCGGGTGCGTCATATCTATTACCACCAAAAAAAAATCATGTTAAAATTCATACCAACAGGACAATCTGGAGATGCATATTTAGATTCAACGTCCATTTTTCAGCACATCTTCTAAATTAATGCAAGGAATGAAGGATGAAATGATTGATCTTTACCTGCAACTTCAATTTTTTTTTCTCCTTTTGAAGTGATAAAACATAAGAATGATGTTTTAATTTTGAAAAGTTTATTGAGAATGAGAGAAATTTTTTTAAAGGTTTTGGAATGGAGTTTTATTTTTAGCATGAGGAAAAAGCTCATGCAAGGTGGTGTTTTATCACATCAGAATGGGCATTTTTGGAGATGCATTTCCAAAAATATCACTGATTTGTTATTTAAATCAGTTGCGTGAATAACTGCAAATAATAATAGAGTATAAGGGTTATTTCGGAGATGCATCTTCGGATATACCAAAATAAGATACAAAGATGCATTTTCAGATTATTTTATTTTTAAAATGGGGTGAATTTTAAAAAAGCATATTTTAGTTTGATTGTGCACTCTATAATACATCTCCAGATGTAAGAGATCATTTTTCAAATTTTTAAGAATGTGAGAGACAGAGCATTTCCCAAACATTTTTGCCAACCATAAAGAACCTTAGTAGGAAAGGAGAACTTAATATGACTTTTCCCTAGTATGAGAAAATGAAGCAAATTTTCAGTTTGACAACAATCACATATTAGATGTAATTAGTTTCCATTGAAAGCTAGCATATACATAATACATATTTGAAATAAGAATAGTGACTCTTGTCTTTTGTATGTGGCCACAACCACACTCTTATTTTTTTATGAATCAACAATCAATCACACTTTTCCAATTGCCAAAATAATTCTTCTACCTATTTTCCAATAAAATAAAAATTAAGAAGCTTGAATTTCTTCACACTTTCATATGGTAGATTTTATATATTTTCCATATTCTAATAGTGCTCCTAGCTAGTTGGAGAACTGGCCAGGACTTCCTAGTTTGTAGTATTATTCATCTTTTCCCACTTTTGCAAAGTCCAAAGTCCTCTTTCCTTGTAATTTATTTGTCACATAATGTTTACTATACTCTCCATGATTGTATCTCCTATACTTGCATGGGTGATTTTCATCCACAAATTCTTGCATTGGTCCAAGCTCTACCTCATAGCTAGGAGCATAAAATGTCACAATTGAAAGCCTGTCTTTTTCCTCATGAGCCACAGCCCTATGCTCCACACTTTTGTATTTTCCATTTGTAAGAACCTGAAAAATGCAAATTAGAATCTAAGTCCATAGCAAAATGAACAATAATCATTATTTACTCTGTCCGTCTTTGAAAACGTGAAACATAAGCTTACCGTACATGACCTAAAATGTGTCACAGTTAAATCAGAACTAAATAGATTCTCAAAATATATTTGTCATCGTTAAACAGTAGTAAAAGTGAACTTCCAAAAACTTAAGACGGGACGTGAGTCTTACTTCTATTGTGTCACCAATGTTGATGACAAGAGCATTTGGAATTGGTTGAACAGGGACCCATCTGTTGTCTTTAAGTATTTGAAGGCCCACTGGGCTTCCCTTTGCTTGCTGCAGCACAGTAAGAGCACTTCCATCTGAATGAGGACTCAGGCCCAAAACAAGGTCAGGCCTTGAACATGTTGGGTAGTAATTCATCCGTATGGCTTGTACTGCTTCACCAAACATCTCCTCAAAAACATCTTCTTCCAAACTCAGGCCTAATGCTATGTATTTCAGCAAATTTTGGCAAAGTTTCTTGGTTTTTCTTGAGTACAATTCTATTGTTTCACTGCATGAATATGAAGAGAGAAAAAAATCATTTTACTAAGTAAAAAATATATATATTTTTGTTTCCTATATATTTATAGTCTTATGCCGTCTTTGAGGACGTGTAAGGCAGATTATCGTACAGCATCTAAAATTTGTAATGGTAAAAATAGAATCTCATAAAATCTTTGTTATTGTTAAAAAGTAGTTAAGTAGAGTCTTTATATCTTTTGTCATGGTTGAACCGTAACTAGCTTGCACAGAATCTCCAAAAATTTAAGACGACTCTGCATAAAAATATATATTACCTGAGTTTTGCTGGTTTCTTTGGCCAGAGATTTGGGTCCCTAACATAGAGAGGTGCAATTCCTAAAGCAAACATGTTGCACCAATCAAGTTTCTGATCCTCTGAGAAAACAAAAGCTTGTCCATATCCTTGGACTGTTCCTGGTGCCATAGGATACTTCTGTTTCTCTTCCAAAGGTAGCATGAAAAATTCCTTACTCATATCCTCTATGTTTTTCATTAGATTGATGTCAACCTCATGATTAATCACCTAATCAAAACATTCAACATTATTAGTTTCAATTAACAAGTATGTCCTAAAAAATCTACGCATTCGAGTTTATCTCTTGACATAAACACTTGTGAGATTCGTAAGATGTTTTCAGCTTATTTTCATAAGTTTCTCAAGATAGTTTAAATAACTTATACATAATAAGCACTGATTTACCTGAAAAAATCCCCACTCTTGACAAGCGACTGAAAGCTTGCAAAGTTCATTGAGCAAATCCTCTTTGCTCCCTTTACTAAGCTTAGAGAAATCAATGACAGGCATGTCACTATTTTGTGGTTCAAGAGATGTTTGAAGTGTTGGTCTTTCTGTCATATCTCTTACAAATCTTTGAGGAACTGTCTTTGGTTTTGTTCTTCTTAATTCTTGCACATCATCAATGTGTCCTACGTTGATGGTGGAAATTGGTGCAGGAGCCATGGAAACAGGTTGGTTGAAGTAAGGTTTTCCTTTGAACTGATTGTTATATATCTTCACCCTCTCAACTAAGGTTGTATTTATAGTGGAACTGAATATTAGGCTCTTGTGACGTTTAGAGTAAAATATTCAAAAGAATAATGTTACATATGCAATACTATGAATTACAATTGTGCATAATAATAGGCACACATGAAAATATGACGATTGAATAGGTGGAACGTCGCAGGTTCGAACACGCACTCTGAAAATTGCATGTCTTAACGAGATTTAATCTTTTTATTTAAACATTTTAGTTAGAAATTAGATTTCCGTAAATTTTTAATGATGTAGCAGAACAAATCACATGACATTGTATAGAGTTTTAGCTCTCGTGTACATGTGATATGTCCGGTATGTGTCAAAATTTGACATGATGATCCCGAATAGCACGTTTAGTAACTTTTTAGGGGTCAAAATCTCATGAAAAACTAAGAATTCACACATTTAAACAAAATAATTCCCTAATCAAATGCATTAACACAAAACCATCTATGTGCAAAAAACCGTAGACCCAAAATCATTGCATCACCTTTGGTTTCTTTTTCCCCCAACTTGTGTATACTTTGTTACTATAATATGCATTACATCACCATCCATATTATGAAAAAGAACTTGTAAAAAAATCAGGGTCATGTAATTGTATATTGTATTATAGTTTATTAAAAACAACTCAATAATAATAATAACTAACGGTAGATATTATTCTGCCATAGTTGCTAAGAAGCTATATACAATGTGAGTGGTAAAGTAGGGTCCAAAAAAAATGCCACCAAATAACAAACCAAATTTAGTGTTATTTGTCATGATGCTGTTGTCCACCCTACCATGTTTAAATGTTTTACTGTTAAGCCTGGCATCGCTTTATTGTAGCATGCATATGTCAAAACACATATACTTAACTTGTAGAACCCTACAAGATTTTTTTTCAAATCTTGGCAATGGGACAAATGGAAACAAACAAAATATTGTGTGGTCTCTGCCTCTGATTATATAAAGTACCTAACACATGCATGCTACTTATTAGTACTCTCTAATATCATTGGTGCCCTATTTGTTCAAGTTTGTTTTTATTTTTTCTTCTCCTTTATTGGACTAAACAATCTTTTTTTAAATCTTAGTGTGTGAGTTTACTCTTCATACTCAAAATGAATCCATTTACTCACATTTTCTCTTATGTAAGTTGAGTGAGTAATTGGAAGAACTCAATTTCTGTTTGTTTAAGAAAGAATTCAGATATTTTTCAAGTTTTTTTTTTGGCTTCAGGATAAAAAAAATTGGACATAATAAATATAAAAAAAGATAGGGTGAAGGGGCGGGCCTAAAACTTTAATCTGTTTCGTACTAAAGTGCGGCCGGGACAAGGCGGATTTGGTGACGCTGCACCTTTTAAGTCAAAAAAGGAATAAAATTATGTTAATGTTTGTTCACACAAAAAATGGGGCGAAACAGGGCGGACATACTAGAGGGTGAAGACCTAAATCCTTGACCCACCCCACATTAAAGTATAGGCAAAACAGACATGTCCATCGGGTCGGGCTCGTTTGACCACCCTTAATCCTCACACAACCAATTTAAAAAGTCAGATGGCAGGGAATATTGTGTAACTTAGCTTGTACCTATAGCGAAATAATTCTCATATTTTACTAACTAGTTAGTTCAATGATTGACTTCTTAAAACATGTGATGCAAGACCATATATAAGATATGGCCTGTAATTCTTAGAAGTAACGAATCGTGTGCATAAAAATATAACTCATTTCTATGAGTCGGCAGCTAAATAGTCTCAGGACTATCTGATTATACGATGGTTCTTAAATGATCATGTTGGAGTAGAAAAACGATACCATAGAAAATGGAAAAAATCTCGACGAAAACATGTTACCTTGATCATCTTTGGAGGAAAAACACAAAAGTCAATTACAATTTTCATTCTTGACCATCAACACCAATTCCTCCATAAGAATTGTAGCTCTCATCATCATTCAATAACACCAACAGAGATAGTATCAATGTCTAGAAACATATTGCAATTTCAGGAAGAATGAGTACCTAACTCATCACATCTGCATATCTTCGTTGAGGAATGGTATTCATAGGCGTTTGAAGATACAGGAAAAGAAAAAAGAAAGAAAATATTAAGTGAGAATAGGAAATTAGGAAGAGAGAAGGAGCCTCGAAAGGTGGAATCTTTAGGAAAACAGTGGAAAGAAAAAAGGATGAAATTTCCATGCTCTCGATCTAACCTAAAAAGGATTAAATTATAGTCATGGGTCATTGCACATGAAGAGGCAAATGAGATATCAAAAGGGGTAGTGGATTTTGCTAATGAAATTGAGGTCCACCTTTCTAGGGATGAAGCAGAAGTAGTGGAAAAACTATCAATCAATGAAGCTAGAGATAAGAAGGCTTCAAAGAAGATAAGAGGGAAGGCTAAAAGCAGAGGGTGAAATATGGGGAGTGAAGTGGAGTTTCTTAGGAGGAGTAATTTAAAGCTATGAAGATCATAAGTTATAACATTAGAGGTCTAGGTGGGGTGATAAAAAAATAAAGAGATAGCTCAGTTGATTCAAAAAAGATCACCCAAATTTGCTTGGCTTACAAGAAACTAAAATGGTTGAGATGGAAGGATTGACGTGTGAAGTAATATGGGGAGTAAACGATTGTAGGGTTAGTTTCAAGGCTGCTGAAAGAAGATCAAGGGGTTGTTGATTATGTGGAATAACAAAAAAATTAAGAAACTGGAGGAAATTCAGGGAGAATATTTCATAGATGTGAAAGGGTATTAAGGGTTGGAGAGGATACAAGTGATTGTGAATGTCTACTCTCCTTGTGATGCAAGTGGAAAGAGGAGGTTATGGAATGCTCTAAATGAGTTAATAAAATCAGACCTAGAGGCAAGGTGGTGCATGATGGGAGACTTCAACGTGATAAGGTTCAAATCATAGAGGAAGGGCGTAAGAGCTTTTCTCAAACGAGCAGAGATGGAAGTTTTTGATGAATTTATCTCAAAAGCCGATCTTGTGGATTTACCGTTGAAAGGGGGCGTTTTACCCGATCTAATTTGGACGGGTCTTCTATAAGTTGAATGGATATATTTTTGTATCATAAAGGTGGATGCATCAGTGGCTGAATTGTTATCGGTGTTATTTGGATAAAGGTCTCTTAGACCATTGTCCCGACATGATATGCAATAAAGAGGTGAATTGGGGCACAAAACCCTTTCGTATGTTCGAGTGCTGGAGAGATCTAGAAGGGTGTCATAAGTTTGTGGAAGAAACTTGGAAATCTTTGGGTGTGTGGGGGCTGGGGCGGATATGTATTGAAAGAAAAATGTAAGTTGATCAAAAGAAACCTTAAAGAGTGGAGCAAGAAACATATTACAAACCTAGATGACAGAATGGATGGAGCAAAAAAGATAGTAAATGACTTGGAACGTAAAGGATAAGCTTCAACATTATCTACTGATGAGGTTAACATAAAGAGAGGTGCATCAGTCCAACTATTTTCGCTTTCAAAAATGTAGACAAGTATACAGTGGAAACAATTGTGGCTGAGATGGCTAAGAGAAGGTAGCACAAATTCAAAATTCTTTCAATGACGTGTGACAAATAGAAGAAAACATAATGAGATTATATGTACAGAGATGCAAAGCTCGAAACTGACTGGAGCTCAATAGATTAAACAAGAGATTTTTGCATACTTTTCAGAGGTGTATAGTGACAGTAAGGTGAACAAACCAACACTTAGAGAGTTTAATTTCAATAAGAGTGATCTGGAGGACAACGATAGTCCTACAGCTGAATTCTCTGAAGAAGAAGTTAGAGGAGTGGTGTAGGAATGTGACAATATGAAGAGCTCTAACATATATGGGGTAAATCTAGGATCCATTAAAGAATTTTGGGACATGCTCAAAGGAGATTTCTATATATTCATCATAGAATTTCACTCGAACGGTAGATTTGTTAAAAGAGTCAACAGTTCCTTCATAATTATAATCCTGAAAGTAGAAAATCATGTAAAGCTGACGAAGTTTTGGCCTATTTCGCTTATTGGGAATATGTACAAAGTATTATATAAGTTGCTTACAAATAAGTTGAAGAAAGTGATGCATAAAGTGATAAAAGAATTTCAATTCTCATTTTTGGAGGGGTGACAAATAGGAGATTGTATTCTTCTAGTGAATGAGTTATTTGACGATGCCAAGAGGAGGAAACAAGAAGCAATTTTGTTCAAAACTGACTTTGAAAAGGCATACGATTCGATGGATTGGAAATTTCTCGACTATATGATGGAAAGGATAGGTTTTAATGAAAAATGGAGAAAATGGATTGATAAATGCCTGCGAACAGCTAAATTATCAGTATTGGTTAACAAAATTCCTACATAAGAAATCTCAATGGAGAGAGGATTGAGAGAAGGGGACCCCTTGTCCCCTTTCTTATTTCTCTTGGTGGCAGAAGGGTTTAACTTAATGATGGATAAAAGTGTTCATATGAGACTAAAGATGAGAAAACACAAGAAGGGGTTCAATTTTGTTCTCTTTTCTCTATAACTTTTTCTTCTTCTGGTTGATCTTAATCAGCTTCTGAACACTCAGTTCAGAGTCTGAATCAGAGTCACTCAGAGTCTGAACTCTTGAAAATCTTTATAAGATTCTAAAATAGAATCAGACTCAGAGGTAAACAAATGATATCAGCGGAATATAGTTCAGACGTAGTTAAAGTAAAGCAAGAGACACCGAAAGTATTCTTAGTTCCTCTCACAACTTGAGAGTAGTCCAGTCCCCTTATACTTCCAAAGAATGTACACTATAACCAAACTGATTACAAATGCTCAAGCACCAAGCAAGAGACTTTCAATGCTCAAGCCCACAAGTAAGAGACTCCAATGCTCAAGCACACGAGAAAGAGACTTTCAATGCTCAAACCCTCAAGTAAGATACTTTTATGCCCAAGCACATA